ATACACAGAATTCTAATCTGATGTATGTTTATTTTTAGCTCATCTAGTAGAATACAATCTGACAAAAACAGATGGCTCAGTTGGACGTTGTGGTGTACGCTTTTGATCCCAGCATTTGGGAAGCAGAGGCAGGCAGATCTCTATTCTAGGCCAACCAAGGCTACACAGCGAGACCCTGTCTCAGAAAAAAAGCAAAAACAAAGAACTGGGGGGCTAAGGAGATGGCTCAGAGGTTAAGTGCACTGACTGCTCTTCCAAAGGTCCTGAGTTCATTTCCCAGCAACCACATAGTGGCTCACAATCATCTGTAATGAGATATGGTACCCTCTTCTGGCATGCAGGCAGGCAGAACACTGCATACATAATAAGTAAATAAATCTAAAAACAAAAAAACGAAAGCACAAAGAACTGTGTGGTACCTGGCTGTGCAAAACCCGCCGTCACTGACATAAATTTTGTGAATCAAGCTTGTAGAAACAAAGGATCAACTAATCAAGGTATTTTAGCTTTAGAAAGGAGAGTTGGGTAATAGTTTCTCAATTCCAAAGCAGTATTTTAAAGACAGGAAGATGAAAAATCCATTCAGAAAATATCTTTAAGGAGGGCTGACAAGATAGTTTAAGCAATTAAGGAGTAGTCTCAAGCCTGACCACCTAAATTTGATCCCAGAAAACCCACATGGTGAAAGGAGAGGACAGACTCCTATGGGTTTTCCTCTGGCCTCTACTTGTGCACCGTGGCACACATGTACACAGACTCATACAAGCACGCACACATGTAAACACATGTAAAAAGTTTCAATTAAAAAAAAAACTTAGAAAGCTTCCCTGATTGATTCACAGTTTGTCATCATACTGAATAAAAAGAACTGTTTCTATTAAATCTCCTAATAAGCTGGGCGGTGGTGGTGTACACCTTTAATCCCAGTACAGAGGAAGGCAGATCTCTGTGAAACACAGAGAAACCTTGTCTCAATAATCAAAACAAACAATCTACTAATAGCATGTACAGCATCATTTTGAGGGATGTAAGACTGGACAGTGTAACTACATGACTTCTATGTTGTGATTCTATTACTTTTAATTGTGATAAAGTTCCAAAGGCAAACTCCTTAATACAAGTGGCACTTGGAAGCCGGGCGGTAAATGGTGCATGCCTTGAATCCCATGGCGGGGGGAGGGGGCGCCAGAGGCAGGCAGATCTCTGTGAGTTGGAGGCCAGCCTGGTCTACAAAGTGAGTTCCAGGACAGGCACCAAAGCTACACAAAGAAACCCTGTCTAGAAAAACAAAAAACAAACAAACAAGAAACAAACAAACAAACAAACAAGTGGCACTTGCAAAACAAAAATATATACCCAGGGGGCAAATTCTCAACCACAGCATTACTAACATCTTGGATTGGAAATTTCTGTCATAGTGGGGAATGAAAGACATTCCTATGCACTGCAGAGTATCTGACAGAATTTCCAACTTAATAGTGACTTCTCTGGAAAGAAAAAGAAAAAAAACATGTGTCAAGTGCACCCCCAACGACAGCAAAGCAAAAGCACAACTCCCTAAGAATAGTAACTTCTGACTAGAAACAAAGCCCTCTCCCCACTACTCTTCTGAGTAATCTAAGTCAGAACCTACACATGAATGCCTCACTTTTATTCCTTGTAATTCCCTAGTCAGAAACTCGGGTGCACAAAGACTTACCTGGAAACATGTATCCGGCAAAAAAAAAAAAAAAAAAAGTACATACAGAGACCCAAGTAGAAGGATTAAGGCCACTGGCTAGCCAATAAGCCAAGTATTACAATCAACCAAACTAACACTGGAAACGAAAGCAAAAATCAAGCAAGAAAGAAAATCCTACTGTCCCTAATGGGGCTTCTACTAACAGGACTTTCTCAACATTACCTCATTACTCTATACAAAGCAAAAATTTTAAAAAATTAAACTAAATAACACTTTTTTTTAAGTGCAGGGAGGTTAGAAAAGTATATATAAAGTTGGCAAGATTTCAACTGAGCTCTAAACATTTAGTGACATTTCAGCATGAAAAAATAAGGACAAGAAAATGTTCTTTTCTAGTGAAAGGAAATAACATGAAGAAAATCGAGGCTCTAGGAAACAACAGGACATACAAACAATTAATACAAAGGAAGAATGTTCTTGAATATATAGCATATTAATAGAAAGGCAATTTTTAAAAAAACACTGGGAAGGTATTTTGATGCTTGATTATGAATGGCCAGCATTTACTTAGGCTTCAAACAACTGGATTACCATTAAGTTTCTCAAATGTAAGCTGAGTTCTTAGAGAGACCAGTTGACTAGACGGATTTACAAGTTAAAAAGGAAAAAAGGGGGAAAAATCTAGAGATCTAGCATTAATCAATACATGACTACAATGCAATGAAAACTTCTAAGGTTGTCATCAAAGCAAAACATTCAACACTTAAACCAGAAATGTGAAGGGGCTGAAGTCTACATAAAACTCAAATATATGGTATATACAAAAGTGTAATATTTACAAAGACAACATACAAAGAAAGCTCTCATCCATCCTAATTTCACTTTCTTTATGATCAAATTCTTTCATTTATTATTTCTCAGGCTCATGTTTGCCATATCCTATTACTAACCCTACCAGTGCAGCCCAGGCCCTCATCAACTCACTTCCTGTTACTTCAGCCCTGAAAACTATGCTTTACTATTTTTTTTAAAGTGATTTGTTTTTATTTTATGTGCATTGGTGTTTCTCCTGTATGTATGTCTGTGTGAGGGTGTCAGATCCTCTGAACTGGAGTTACCAACAGATGTGAGTGCTGGGAATTGAACCCGGTTCCTCTGGAAGAGCAGAGAGTGCTCTTCATCGCTGAGCCATCTCTCCAGCCCCCTATGCTTTACTTTTTTTTTTTTTTTTATCACCTCACTTCCATACTCTTGAAGTTGCTACACTGCTTTTCCCACAAGTTCAAGTTCTTCAAAATAAAACTTAAAAATAACCATCAGGATATCATGGACCTAGAAACTCCCACTCCACAGACCCTCAAACTAGGTATTTTTGCTTATACTGCTACCTCTATCTGAAATATTTTAGTCCAAAACTTCATCTCCAAAAACTCCACAAGAACTTCTCTTCTAAATGTTCCCCAACTGCCAATTTATTAATTCTAAGAAAAGCAAAATTCCTTGATAGTTTCTTTCTTTTACCTGTTTACCAACTTTATATAGATAGTATAATCATTAAGTACCATCATGGAAACAGTTAAAGAGTTCCCAAGATCACCTTCAAATACAAACTAGTTTGTTAAAAAGAAAATCTAATCAAATGACAAAGAGAGAACTTGAAAGATGATCCAAACAGCAGCTGGAATAAATCAGATAATGTACTATAGTTTCAGGAAGACAGCAACTACAGGGATCTGTGATCAAGCAACTAGAAGTTACACCACAGGATACACTTTTTTTTTTTTTTCCTCTGTGTAGCCCTGGCTGTCCTGGAACTAGCTTTATAGACCAGGCTGGCCTTGAACTCAGAGAGATCTGCTTCCCTCTGCCTCCCAAATACTGGGATGGGGTTAAAGGCTTGGGGTGCCACCACCACCCGGTGGTAGTCTTAAAGATAAAAACATGTGCATATATACTGTAGAATGTGCTAGAGAAGGGTAACAAACTATTTTAAAAATGTGAGTCTGACCACCTTAATACTTTCCTATGATAACTGAGCCTCTTAACTGAAAATGTTTCATAATTACTCAGAGTATCGTAACTAGAGTATAGGTCATAAAGAGTGTTGTTCATTGGGCCAGAGAGAAGGCTCAGCAGGCTTATTACCAAGCCTGACTTCTTCAATTTGATCCCCAGAGTAAAATGGTGGAAGCAGAGACCCAACTTTCACGAATAGTCCTCTGACTTTCACACCAATACACGCACACCCACATGCCATGGTACATGTGTGCCTAAACACACACATACACACAAACTGGAAATGCTAAAACTGCTGTTTACTAACAATAAATGTCCCTTTACTGTCAGCCAATGTTCTATTTTACATATATTCTTATTTAATCTTCACAGTTAACATTGTTTAGTAAATCCTACTGCCCTGATTTTATGAATGAGGAAAACTTGACGTTCCAAGATAAGCAATTTGCCCAAGGCCATACTACTAAGTAGCAGAGGCAAAAATCTCATACTTTTAAAAGACTCATACTTTAAAGTTTTTTGTTTTTTAATCCATGAATATATGGGTGTGCCTATGTGCCTGTAGGCCTAAGGAGGCCAGAAAAGGGTGTCAGAACCCCTGGAGCTGAAGTTCCAGACAGTTGTGAGAAGCCTCATATGGGTGCTAGGAACCAAACCAAGCCCTAGAAGAACAGGAAGTGCTCTTAACAGCTGAGCCATCTCTAGCCTCAGGCACAAGCTTACAACTATTATACTAAGTAGAGTTCAAGGCTAGATTTAACACGGGAGGGCCTTAACTGCTTGACATTAAAACTTAAATTTTAGTCTTTAGAGGAAAGTCAATAAGAACACCCAACTGTTATTTCCAATACATATTTATTAAAATACATATATCAATCAAAACATTGGACTAAGCATCCACAAAGGATAACAAGACCCTGTAAAGGAAAACACATTAAGGGATTCAGATACAGGCAGAAGTAGTCAGGGTAGGCTTTGTAGAGGAAACAGGTCTAAGTAGAATTCAGCAGTACACAAATAGCTCATACAAGCCAGCATTCTATGCCAAAAAGAAAGGAAAAAAAAAAACTGTTTCATCAAACTCAAAACCAATTTCTGTCCTTCAATAAATATCCCCTATGTAAATGAATTCTGATTTCAATCAGTGGTTTACCTTCTAACACAAACACATCTTTACATGTCTACTAATGTCAAGCCCAAATCATAAAGACTACAAGAGGCACTAAAAATTGTACAACCTCATTAATGCTAAAAATAAGATGTAAATTAGGTGTGAAGACAGTTTTCTGTGTTTTGTCTGAAGGGTTTAAGGGAAGTTTCCAAGACAGAAGACATCCTGAATGATTCTAAGGGTGGGCACAGCTTACTCCACTTCATGAAGACACAAGGTAAGCAACTCACAGGCTTAAGGACCCTGAAAGTATTGCAATGGACATGCAATCTGTTTACCCCACTTTCCCTAAGATAGACAATTGAGCTGAACAGGTGGGTCAAAAAGCAATTCCATCCTGAAACAAAGAAGCAGTGCAGAACAATCTGAATTTTTAAAAGCAAAGTGGAAAGGTGTTCCGTGGGCAGAATGATCATCACATTCACTATATCTTTAGTGCCACTGGCCTTACTTCAGAACCTCATTATGTACAATAATTAAGGCAGCAGTAGTAATAACCTCCAGCTCTTCATCCTTTTTCTATCCAGTCTCAACAAGCTTCCAATCTTGCCTCTATTATCATGACTCTATCAAAGGCAAGAGAGGGAAGGAGGAAAATCAAATCTGAATATTATGTGGTGCTTAGACTAAGGATACATTTCAAATTCTCTATCTACTCCCTTAGCATTCATCATTATCTGAAGCTCTCTACACTCTACCCTCACTACACTCACCAGAACATACAAAATTCCAGGCTCTTTCATGCTCCTCCTTTATGTTTACCTATTCTGCTCTTTCAAGGTTCAATTCCAAATAACAAAGTCATGCAAGTATGCCTCATTCCTTCCAGGTTGAGTTAAAGATCTGTCCTTCCAGCCTCATAATCTGTACTCTGCTGACACTCTGGGCAATAGCAGCCAGCATAACATAAATTCACAGATTTCATCCTATCACTCCTTATGCTATGCATTTCTTAAACAGACAGTATGGTTTGTGTTAAATCTATTTCCTACAAGCAGCACATGCCAGCAGAATGGCATACCAATACACTGAAAGAATCAGATGCAGATCCACTAGGAGAAAGTTAATGGAAATGTCTGATCATGAGGTGACACAATCTAGTAAGTATTTACCAACTGAATACAGGATAAACCCTGTATTCAATCTCAAGTTCCACTCATTCACACAGCCAAATACCTGTACCCAGACTGGTAAGCTTAAAACAGGTTTCACTACGTAGCCTTGGCCTGTCTAGAAACAGATATCTGCCTGCCTCTGCCTCTACCTCCTAAGTGCTGGAATTAGAAATATGCTCGACAACCATTTGGGAAATCTTTGAACTATACTAAATATTAAATTTGGCTACATTATACTTTGAAGACAATGTCCACCAAATCTTAAATGCAATTACTCAAACTTTTTATCTAGCAGCTATACTTCTAGGGATCTACCAAGCAGAAGTAGTTTTATTGGTGCAGAAAATATATGCACAATCTTTTCACTGAAAAAAAAAAAAAGCTAAATTTTAAAAATATAAAACCATCTAAGAAATATAATCCAATTTATGCATAAGACAAGGAAACAGAGAAAGAGAAGAATGTGACAAATTTTAAGATGTCTGTGTACACCCATAGAGGCCAAAAGGCAGCACTGGATTCCCTGGAGCTGGACTTACAGGTGGTTGTGAGGCCACCTGACATGCATGCTGAGAACCAAACTCCAGGATTCTGCATAAACAGGAAGTACTCTTGACTCCAGAGCCATCTCTTCAGCCCCAGAATGTTTTTTTTTTTTGAAGAATGATTATATAGTCAAACTATTAACCATGTTCATCTATTTCTACTCTATCATGATTCAAATTCCTTACCAGTTTTTAGCTCACAGATACAAACACACAGAACTTTTATCTCTAACAAACCTAGTGGTTTTGAACAGTCATAAAATTAGAAACTTCTTGAAAAGCCCAAGCAAATTTGAAAAGGGTTATTTTCCAAGGATTTAAAGTCAAATTCCAGAAATCCTACCAAAACCTACTTTATCCCTTTAAATTGAATTTATGATCAAAAACATTTTCCAAGCTAGGGTAGTGGTGGCTCACGCCTTTAATCCCAGCATTCAGGAGGCAGAGGCAGGCAGATCTCTGGAGTCTAGCCTGGTCTACAAAGCAAGTTTCAGGACATCAAGGGCTACTCGGAGAAACCAGTCTCATTTAAAAAAAACAAACAAACAAACCAAACAGACAAAAAAAAACACATTTTTCCAATGCCAGAGAAATGTTAAAATTAATACTAATAGCCTTCTTTTATTCTATTGAGAGGCCCAAGACTAGATGGTATGGAATAAATTACCAACTACAAGAAAAACTGCGTATGTACAAATATACATATACACATACATTTCTTAAGGTCTTCATATATTCTGTTCTCCACATAAAAACAGCTAAGTGAAACTTTCAAGACTTAAATATTTCTTTGTGCATATGTATGTGTGTAATGCTAGAGAACCCTGCAGGACCTCACAAGTGCTAAGCAAGCATTCTACTAAGTTACACTCTTGCCACACAATACACACGCATGCACACATTCTATAAAATCTCTGTACTAGTAGACGTTAGAAACCCTCCGAAACTAGCCCTAAGCCTCTTCACACTCTCTTGAGTACTAACAAGCAGTCAATAAAGACCAAACAGCACATAGGTACCTGGGTATCGGTTCTTATCTTAACAAATTACTCAACCTTGTTATTCCTCAACATTTCCCCTCCAACTGAATTTAACCAGGTCTGACCTTAAATTGCTCTATTTTTTTTTTTTAAGAAATTAAAGGGTGAGGGATATTATTAAGTTCATGCCCCTGAAGCAACTTTTTCTAAAGAAAAACAGAATCTACTGTACTTAAACTTATAACTAAAATCTCAGTTTGGATTCCTGGTTCAAGTAACAACTTTTGGTAACAAAAACTACACTGAATTTAAGCTCTACTTTTCATTTCCCGAAGCCATCAGAGAAGAAATTTAAATACAAAAGTTTAGAACTAGAAGGGCAGTGCCTCCGCAGGCAGACAGAGGCAGGCGGATCTCTGGGAGTTTGAGGCCAGCTTGGTCTAACAAAGCAAGTTTCAGGACAGCCAGAGCTGCTTATAGAGAAACTCTGGGAGGTGAGGGTGACACTTAGAACTAGATTTAAAAAACAACAACAAATTCAGAGCCAGTAATTACATAAATTACTCTTTGGTAGAAGTCATTCAAATGCTCAAATTCTATGAAGCTGGTTTGAAATCTTAGAAAAGCAGACTTGTGGAAAATAACTTTTATGTAGGGCATGTTGTCATACACCTATAAGCCAGCACCCAGGAGGCTGATGCAAGGTTCTTAAGTTAGCCGTAGTGAGCTGGAGGCCTGCCTAATAGACTACGTTTTGAAAAACTCTGGAGTTGGCATTACAGTTTAGCACCACAAAAGAAAAGCAACTTTTATTAAACAATTAGCATTTGCCAAACTGTAGCAGCCAACAGAGGATTAAAGACTTTAAAAGAGGGATAGAGAAATGGACTAGACAGTCCCTATCAGGCAGTTCACAACCACCTATATATTCTTCAGTTGCAGGGGATCCAATGCCACTGGCCTCCAAAGTCATCTACACTCACTCTCACATACCCACACAAAGGCACAAACATACACATAGCTAATAAAAATAAATCTTTTTTAAAACCTGGAAAAAATTTAAAAAAGGTTCCCTTCACCTTGAAAAAGCCTCTTGGTTCCTAAAGGCTTAAAACATTCATTAAAATCTTCATATATAATCATTAAATTTTTTCTTGCAGAATACCCCAGTTTGTTTTTCTTTCTTGAGACAAGGTATCACTATGTAGCACTGGCTATCCTGGAACTTACTATATAAACCAGGCTGGCCTCAAACTCAGAGATCCACCTGCCTCTGCAGGGATTAAGGGCTTTGTGCCATTCCACATGGCTCTCAAGTTTATTTTTTATTAATGGGAAGTTGGTTACCTTTACCCGATCAAAAGTTAGAAAAAGCTTAACATAAAGAAAAAAAAATCTATTCCAAGCTTTTTGGTAAATCACAACTATTATCTAGCTAAGTTTTTCCAATACCCTATATCCAAGAGGTCAGACCTGTAGCTAAACACAGAAACAAATCCCAGAGTATTATCTTCACTGTTTCATTTTAAAAGACCTGTCTTTGTATCCTTTCTTCATTTTAAATAAGCTCCTCCTTGGTTAGGCTGTTCTGGTCTCAGGAAGGATATTTTACATTAGTGTCCTTTCCTTGTTCAATTTATGGAATACAGTGCAGGTGTCTCAAAAAAAAAAAAGTGGACTCAATAGTGGGCCTGCTGTCTAGTGCAAAACAGATTTGGATCATTTCCTTTACCTAAAAAAGACTTCTTTTATTGTTTTTTGATTTTCTTTAAATCTATATTAAGAATAATTTTTCAATCTGAATAGACATATTTATATTTCTAACCTAATAAATTTCATACTAGCTTATAGACAACCAGAGTACAGTAATTAGTCACACAAAGTAGGGCTCTTATTGATTCTTCCCATTCCCCAAAATGTAAGCTCAAAACTCAGTTGGACAACTAAAGACAATATGAATTAGGAAAGCACTGCAAGTCGAGGTCATCAGTATTTCAAGGCTGCCAGAAGAGATAGGAAGTGACATCTTTTTAATGTTATTTGTACATTGAGGAAAGACTTGTGAGTCATAGAAATAACCAGGGGATTACTGTTAGTTATCACTACCACATACTTAATTCTACACTATTCCTTAACATCGAGATCAAGGAATAGACGGATCTTGGTACTGGAAGTAATGTGTTTTTATATATGTTTAATATATATTATATATAACATGCAAAAATTTTCCAGGAAGTCACTTGCATTTCTCTGTCTTAACTGCCTCACCAAAAGGGTGGTGGGGGAGATGATCCCTAGGAACTCCCACACAAATAAGAAAAAGTAAGGATTACTATTTAAACCCAAAGCTTTCTATATGCTACATAGATTAATGTTTTAAAGAGTGTTTTCAAAAATTCTTTTTCTAAAATAAGGAAACAATTTCACTCACAACTACAACTACTCAATACTAAAGTACATTTGAAAACAGGTATCACCAACTACAAAGGCCATATGCTAGCAGAATACATGAAACAGGTCATATCAAACACAGCAAACCTAAAATGTGTTCACTTTAAAAGTGATTAATGCCAGGCATGGTGGTGCA